TTCGTATAAATAATTTTTAGAAGAAGAGGAGAGTTATCATCGTTATTAAAAATAGATTAAAAAGTTAAAAAAAGAAGCAAGAAAATGAAAATCATGGATAAGAAGGTGGTCTTCTTGACTAAAAGGATGGGAGTGTTTTGAGCTAGGGCCTGAAAATTAATTAAAATAAGTTAGTGATCATTTATTAGTAATAGAAATCAGTGTATCTAATTTATAATATATGTAGAGGAACCTGGAAGTAGGGAGATATCCATCATTACAGTAGCATTTTAGCTTCGACTTTCCGTGTTATCAGCTAGAACACTGTCAAAAACAAATGTGAATTTTTAGATAAATAACCATTAACATCTTTGATTAGAGTGTAATTAAGTATTAATTTTTACTTACTCTCATGGGAAAGAAGCCGGTTGAAGATCTCTTTGTAGACTATGTTCTTCACTTTTTGAGAGTGCGAATCTTCGCCTTTAATGAATTTTAGTCCTGCTTTGCTTGTTACACGTGAGAGAGTCACATATAGCTGACCATGGGCGAAGACCAGATTAGGTAGATATAAGAGAACTTCTTTCAAACTTTGACCCTGACTTTTGTTGATTATCATTGCGTAACACAATTTGATAGGGAATTGTCGTCGACGCAGAGTGAAAGGTAGCTTTGTTTCATCATGCAAGAAAACAGCCATATTTTCAATAAACACTGATTTAATTAAATATTCGATCCATTATTCTAACTTCGTTTAGTTGTATTATGGTTTAGTTAACCAACGATGCATATACTTATCATGTAAAGTCGCCAAATATTATTTTATACAACACTTTACTACAAAAATATAATGACACGGCAAATTAGATTTTTAATTTTAAAACACTTAAATAAATATATGATCTCATTAAAATCTTAAGTTAAGAATTCTTATATCTAACTTTAATAAAATTTACACATATATAGACAAAACATTGTGTTGTTATATCTTTTTACAATGAAATCCGTTCTAACTTTTATCTTTTTCTCAATATTTAAGTGGTATATTATATTCTTGGATCACATCCAAAATTATGTATATAAAGTTTCGATATGCCAATAAATAGAAAATTATTCAATATAAGTAAATGCTTGCGTTTTATTATAGTTGTTGTTTTTAATTTGTTTTTATAAAACCTTTTTTATTATGTGTATTTTACAATCAAATAAAAGTTCCAAGCTATTCTTTCTAGTTTTATTTAATATGCATGGTTCTCGGTTTAGGTACAATAAAATTATTTAGGATAAAGAATCTTCTTTACTACAAATCATCTCGTTTTACCAGTTCCTCGTCTTCATTTTCTTAGCTTAGAGCATCTCCAACTCCACTCCATTTTGCAGTCAATTATGGAGTGGGGTTGAAGATGCTCTTACCAGTCATAGTCACCATTCTATTATATCTACCATCAATTTCTCTCCTGACCTCGTCTTGCGTTGTCATAGGATCCTCCAATATCTTATTCTCTGCAATTGCCTGCGCACGCTGTTACTACTAACCCTCTATTGTAGGAAGAATAAGTACTATGTCATCATATCTATAATAAACAAAAGAACACATGAAAATTGCAAATGACACTGACCTACGGGTTCTAGGCCTGTCCCTCAAAGGTGACTGATGGAAATACAGTTGCCTACTTTCCTCTTGCTCAGATGATTTTGCTAGCATCACAGTAACTCATCATAGCGGCATGACCGTCATCATTTCTTTTGGGAGGCCAAGCTGTTAATGAATGTTGTTATTGTCCTAATATCACCCAGAGCAGATCTCATGTTGCTTCCCTTTTAACCATTACCCTCGGGATAGAAACGTGAACGCTCGGGGATCTGGTTGCCAACATAAGAAGCTGATTGTCTACCCGAACCACTCATTCTTACTCACCTGTAGTTAGGCCACGAACTATAATTGAATATCTAAGAAGATAATCACAGAGAGATTAGTAGTGAAAAAGAAATATTAAATATGTTTCAACTCTAGTAAGAAAAAGCTTAATACGACTAAACTGAGCTAGAATGAAACTAAAGCATAAGAAACAACCTCGAACTAAATGCAAATCTCTAGTCTCGTGATCTTATCCAAATTGGAGCATCTTCAAGTTTGGCCAACCAATATTAGGACATAGAGTGAGAGTAGAAAAAAGAAACTTACATGAATTCATAAGCCTTGTTCGTATTCAGGGAAACAAAGCTCCACTGAAGGGAAAGTAGCTGTATGTTTTACGAAGAAACCTACAGAATTGGAAGGATTTGTCCAATGGGTACAACAACTTTCTTTGCATATCCTCCTCCAGAAAGAAGAGCACATACCTGAGACAAATAGAGCATGCCAGAAGGTTAAGACTTTAATCTAAGTCTATGTAGAAGATTTGAAGGCAAGCAAACATAAACTGGACAAAGCTTAATCAACAGTTAACATTAAAAAAAAAACAATTGCAAACAGAAGCCAGAAAATTCTCCAACACTAACTCCATTTTTCTATCAGTGAATACTAAGTTCTATAATCAATCTCACATATATCAAAGGAACTGAACACAAACTGAGTAGTATAATTCCTAACCATCCACAATCTTGTAAATTCAGTAACCTATACCTGTTTTTCGACTTTCCGGCGAGTGACAGACATAACGATGGATCTTAAAATATATACCAGTGGCAACGTATAAAGCCAGGTGGTGGAGAGTATCAGCGCGACTCAGAGCAGTTCTTTGAACTATAATAAGAACCTCATCTTCAAAGAGGATGGAGAAAGAAACTACGAAACCAATACCTTTAACTATGCTCTGCCTTGATGATTCCTCTTTTCATAACACCTTCAAAATTTTATATATACTTTCATCCCTTTATCTTCTGTACAGAATAAACCATCCATTCTTATGCTCGACCATCTCGTTTGCTACTTGGCTTAATTTCTCGTACACTCTCACCTAACAATTTTCAATATTTTCAAATGGAAAAGAAAATAGAGAGACACCATCGTACTGAAACTAACTCTAAAAGTGAACATAAGTAAAGTATTTGATATGATTACCTTTACATCTCACTATGTAGATAACCAGCTTCATGTGGCCAACTACATCTGTTACATTGTAAGAAAAATAATAAGTGAGATGTACAAAAACAAAAAGTTCAATACCTTATCACTAACTGAAATAAAAACATGCATTCCCTAACGTAAACAACAAATCTAATTGCAACTAAGCTATTCTTTGATGATCAACACAAGCCAAGAGCAAAGGTTAATCAGTTGTTATACTAAACTTCTCAAACACAATATTCATTCTTCCACAGGTAACTTCAGAAGATGACTTAAAATAGAGGTTAATCAGTTGTTATACTAAGAGGTTGATTGGAATAAACTGTAGCTTTATATTTTTTGCTGTAGAATTATAGTTGTAGATTTTTATGCTGTGGCTGTACATAATTTAGCTGTTAGATTTTGGCTGTAGATTTCAAAAGATTAATCATTTACATATAAATTTCTAAAGTAAAAAATAAATGCTCTAGGTTTAGTGCTTTCTACAGCCAAAACTAAATAAAAAGGAAAGAAAAATCTGTGGCTTTAAAAAATCTTTATAAAGCATGATTGGAAATTTTTTTTGCTTTAAAAATAATTTGGGATGTAGAAAGTTTCTACAGCACTTATAAAGCACTTGCCAATCATCCCCTAAACTTCTCAAACACAATATTCATTCTTCAGAAGATGACTTAAAATAGTATAAAGAGAAACTTACTTAAAAAGTTGAACTTTTATTTTATAAAACAAAGATTCGAGATCTGTACTCAACTAATAACCTTTTTCAATTCAGGAGCAATAAGAAAACACAACATCCAATCATAAAACATTATAACTCGGGGATAGTATGAAATATTAGAGAATGGACCTTTGCTGTCACAGTTTGCTTCAAAATCTTTTGCTTTATTAAACCGGAACCTGAACCTGTCTTCATCAAAGGTGAAAGGGCTGTTCTCAAGAGGCGACATGACAGAGTTCCATGAGGATTGGCGGAGGAGGCAGGTGATTCGCCTTTTGTTTCATGGCCGCTTGAGCTTAATCAGAGCACTTGCTCCCGTTTTGGTTTGTTGCAAAAAAAGAAAAAAATAGCATAAGGATGAGAAAGAGGGGGGGGGGAGTGGAATGAAAACCATCAAAAAGGATTAAAGCTAAGGACGGATTACTGAGGAAGATGGATAACGGCGAGGAAGGCGAAGTGAAAAAGACATCGCTTGATAAGAAATTAGGTATATTGGGGGTTTTTTTTTTTTTTTGCAAAATCAATCTCCAATAAAAGTCTAATTTCTCTTCTGTTGGTTTTTTACGTGGCAAATTAAGTTAAGGGACGTGGATCATTGAAGCCCTACTATTGGCCAAATAAAAATACGACAGGGTGAGAGGGGTTTATTAAGCCTTTTTAATAGTGTAAGATATTGTGTGGAAAGCACCAAACCTTAAATTGAGACTAATTAATATATAGAGGATAAATTAATGTTACAATAAAATATTTTAACAATAACTACCCACTTTTTTAATTCCAAAAAAAATAATTCTCCTTATTAGTTTCAATAGAGGATTAAAGGAGTGTTAATCTAGAATCTTGCCAAATATCAGGAATTGTTATCTTCTAGATTACGTATTAAACTATCGAACGTTTGTTATCAGGCTGATAAATGAATGTTACAATAAAATATTTTAACAATAACTACCCACTTTTTTAATTCAAAAAAAAAAATCTCCTATTTAGTCTCAACTTCCCATCATCACACGAGAAAAACATAAATTAGTTTACATATAATTCTCTTTAATTCCCCGAAACCATTAATTGAGTTAATTAGTATGTAGAGAATAATTTTATGAAACAATTAATTCGGCTAACAATAACCACCCATTTTGTTAATTCCACAAAAAAAAACTTCTTATTTGTCTCAACTTCCCATCACACGATCAACATAAATTATTTACATATAATGCTCTTTGTTAGTGGTAAATACTAAAGAAATGACCTGAATGAAATATGTTTAGCTACTTGACTAAAGAAAGTTGTAACTTCGTTTTTGTCCAAATCTTGACTTGTTGACACTCGACGTGCTCCTCCAGGACGGCTAAATTCGGGCTTTATACATTTACCACCTATCTTGCTTATGTCCAGTGCTTTAAGGGCTGTCTCTACATCTCTAACATCATAGTACTCAATGAACCTGTGGAATCTCCTGTTTGGGGTTTCTCTAATCTGCTTTTACAAATCAAGTATTAATAAGTAGATGGTTTGCACATTTGAAGGCACAAGCAAACAAAAAGTTACCTCTCTTATTTCAGCATGGCCTCCAAACAGCTTAAGGAGCTCATCATTTGATACTGTTGAGTCCACATTAAAAATCACAAGAGTCCCTTGATTCATATACTTCTCTGATGGATTTTCCTATCATGTCAAAAGTGAAAATAATGATTACAAAAGTCCTTAAAGAAAACTGAAACTTTAAATCCAGAATATATCTCTCATAGCTCATACTTTAGGAATGGAGAAGTGAATGTTGTTGATGTAGTGAGACCAGAAAATAAATAGCAGAAAGTAAAAGACACAAGTTTCTCTTTTCAAATTTACTAAAACAAGAAAGTCTTACACCAATCTTTTCTATTACAAGAATCCTTTAGGATAATACCAATACTAAGCTAAAAATCACCCTAGAGCCTAGACTTCTGTTTATCAGGATCATCCAAACCCCGAGCTAAACTCCCCCTAAGTCTAGGCTTCAATCTTCCAGAACTCCGGAAATACGTCAACAACTACGTCAACAACTAACGCAGAACAACAACACCAAAAGCTTGATCACACAAGCACAAAGGATCTCTCGACTTTTCTTTTTTCCCAGAGACACCTTTTTACATGGAGGCACGTCCTCCTTGCATAGGTAACTAGAACTTGCTCCTCAAGTTCTTCCAAAAGCAACTTAAGCAACTTTTCTTTTTCTGTTAAGGAATAACTCTCTTACCTTTTCCTCTTCAAGTAATATCATTTACACTTAATGTAAATATTCCAGTAAATATATTATCTCTTCTCCAAGCTTAACAAGCCCCCGGACATCATAAAACACGAACTCCAACTTAGCCCAACTTCATGATACACGCATGTACTACCTCCTGTAGTACTTCACGAACTAACACATAATATACATCTTCAATCTCCCCTTTTTTGACTATGCAAGTGCACTCATCACCTCTGGATAGAAAACCACTTCTTCAATCTCCCCATATGAGTCACATCATGGTCAAAAACTAATAAGAAGATGAATATCCTCCAAAGTGAGACACCATCCCATACCACCATCTCCATAATGATCAAATCTCCTAGACCTCGTATTCCTGAGCCCAACACCTCCATGATTAGCTCCTTGAACAGACCTGAAACAATCACGTCGAATATGCCCTTGAACTCCACAAGAATAACATATAGGACCATGACACCTCATACCATAACCTTGCTCCATCTGGTTTTTCTCCCTCAATAAGTTAAAACACCTTGGCCTAATGTGCCCAACAACACCACAATGATGACAAACAGGCCGAAACTTTCGTTCATATACCTTCTTAGGACCAGAAACATTACCCAAAGTAGTCGCTGTAGCAGTACACATTGCAGTACTCGTAGCAGTCGCCTTCTTCACATAAGTTTTAGCCTTCACTGCAGTCTTCCCATTTGTTGCATTCCCAGCACACACCTTAACCTCTGGCTTTGTAGCAGACGTAGTAGCTACACCATCAGTTTTTCTTGCTGATACAAAAACACCTTCAGCTTTAGAAGATTCACCTTTGAATCCAAGACCACATCGATCACTTTTCCCAATGCTGAGAAGATGATCCAAGTGATCTGTCCCATTATTCAGCATCTTCAGACCCTTCTGAGTCTCTGAAAGTTGAACACCAGCATGTCGTGCTTCTTCTTCTTTCTCTGAGGCATACTTAAGTGCTTCAGCCACTTGTGCTTCTAGCTTGACTTTCTCTTTAGTCAACTCTGAATTCGCCTCAACCATCTTGAGCCAATGCTCATACAGCTTTTCATAATTTCCAGCAAGATCAAAGTCTCCATCGCTTTCAGCATCATCATCCTCTCTACATAAGGACCCTGACACAGACGATGTCGCAGATGCCGTCGCAGATTTTGTCTTAGAACCAGACACAAAAGTTGTGAATGCCACCAAGTTCTTCAACTCCTCACCATCACCATCATCTGAATCAGTATCAGATTCATCCTTGACGTCATCCTTCTTCTTTACATTCAGTAAATTCGCACATTGCTTGCGAACATGCCCAAAACCTTTGCACTCATGCCATTGTATCTTCGAAGAACCTTCTGAGTCATCTCTTTTACTCTTCATCTTGCCTTGCTGTTTCTTCAGGTACTTAGCAAACTGCCTCATAATCATCGCCATAGGAATTTCAGAAGATGAACCCTTTAAAGCAATCCCATAAGGATCTTCTTTCTGAACCAGTTTCTGTCCTCACCCTTCAAGATCTCACCAGTAACTTAGGTGACCCGCTCTGATACCAATTGTTGATGTAGTGAGACCAGAAAATAAATAGCAGAAAGTAAAAGACAAGTTTCTCTTTTCAAATTCACTAGAACAAGAAAGTCTTACACAAATCTTTTGTATTACAAGAATCCTTTAGGATTAGACCAATCCTAAACTAAAACTCACCCTAGAGTCTAGACTTCTGTTTATCAGGATCCTCCAAACCCCGAGCTAAACTCCCCCTGAGTCTAGGCTTCAATCTTCCAGAACTCCGGAAGTACGTCAACAACTACGTCAGCAACTAATGCAGAACAGAAACGCCAAAAGCTTGATCAGACAAGCACAAAGGATCTCTCGACTTTTCTTTTTTCCCAGAGACAACTTTTTCCATGGAGGCACGTCCTCCTTGTATAGGTAACTAGAACTTGCTCCTCAAGTTCTTCCAAAAGAAACTTAAGCAACTTTCCTTTTTCTCTTAAGGAATAACTCTCTTACCTTTTCCTCTTCAAGTAATATCATTTACACTTAATGTAAATATTCCCGTAAATATATTATCTCTTCTCCAAGCTTAACAAGCCCACAGACATCATAAAACACGAACTCCAACTTAGCCCAACTTCATGATACACTCATGTACTACCTCCTGTAGTACTTCACGAACTAACACAGAATATACATCTTCCAATGTCCAGTGTCCTCTTTCTTAAGAGCGTGTTCTGTAGCGCACACATTGCAGCATGAGCAGCTCGGATATCATAGTAGGATATCATTACAAAACCCCTGCTTTTGCATGCAGTGTACAAACTCCTGATCTCCACAAACGGCTGATGAGAGATAGAAGTTATGTCAGCAAGACTCGATACAGTACCAAGTTATAGATGGAACATTGGGCTCAAGCAGACAGACAGTTCACATACCTCAAAGAGAGCGCTTAACTCTGAATCCTTGTCACTGCGGTTGATGTTCCTTACAAATAATGTCCTTGAAGGATGCTGACCATTCGGATGTTTACTGAGACTCTGCCAGATGTATTGGAGCGTCTACGAGGACCAAATGCATTTGCAGCAGATATCTTCTTCCCTGACGCAGAAACAACAAAATTGCTGATGTGGACAAATTTTGTAATGATATCCTACTATGATATCCAAGTTGCTCATGCTGCGATGTGTGCGTTACAGAACACGCTCTTAAGAAAGAGGATTAAATATTTATGGTGAGGATGCGTTTAGGATACAATGCTAACATAAGACCAAATTTCAGTAGTGTTTAAATCTGTATCTCATTTTTAGTGGACTGAAAAGTTTTAGAATGAGATACAGATTTAAACAAAAAATATATATATATGTATCTCATTTTTAGTAGACAAAAGCTTCATTATTATTATTATTATTATTATTACTGTCTTGCTGAAGAGGCTGTTTAAATAGGCTATGCTAACATAAGACCACTCTCCTCTTCACTTTTACGTTGCTGTATCTCATTTTTTTGTTTAAATCTCAGGTAATGAACATAGCTTCATTACCTTTATCACCCAGATTCTCTTGGGATTCAACATCCAACTCCATACCCCCTCCAGTACAGTAAACATCACACTCCTTGAGATCTTCAGGGATACCAATAAGGCAAGACATAGTGCTTCCTTAGATTTCCACGATCATATATCAAGAATTGCAAGGAATGCACCTGAAACAACAAAGCAGCAAAAAGTTTAAGCACTATGTCTTACCTTTCGTTTCTGTATCTAAAATAATCATGAAATGGATACACAGACCTGCGCTGCTGTTGGGGCAACTGGCCTCGGATAAAAGAAGTTCGCTTTACTTTCATCGCCTCCGTGTTGTAAAGATGGATTCTCATGCTCGGGCCTGGTGATTGCCATCCAGTCAGCTGAAAGTGTCCGCATATCAGAAAGAATCCTGAATGCAATCACACATATGACCCAGTGAACAACATGAAGAGATTATTGTTTGTACCGAGTTCGGTCGTGTATCAGTAAAGTGAGTGACTGGAGTCGTTGGTGGGTTATTAGGAAGGTATGAACGAGATTGAACAAGAGAAGGAATTTTATTTATAATCGGAAAGTGAATACAAAGAGTATTTCCGGTGCTCGGAGAGCTTTGCGGAGGTGTCGTACGGACTAGTCGGTAAACAAACGGGAGAGTAAGATAAATATCCTAATACAAGTTGCCGCTTAGTCAGACTAATTTCGGATCCCTATCTCTTTGTGCCTCATTTCCCTTTTATAGTCAATCCCTCCTCGTTTGGTTTGACTTAGAGCGGTATACGTCGATGGGCTTTCGTATTGGGCCCCTTCTCGGCCCGTAAATCTGAGCTTCCCCTTTGTAAGGATGCTACTCGGCTTCCACCCGGGTTAACGTCATCTATTGACGAGTCGGTCCATCGATCAACAATGGGTCAACAAGCTGTCTTTTAATGGGCTGGATATGGTTTTCCCGTGGGCCCTGAGGGGTAGATGCAATCCACCTCCTACAATAAGTCCCCCCAGTCCATTGGTGATCGGTTTTAGAATCAGTGGATTTAGTTCGTTGGGTTTATGGGAAATCATGTTCGGAATGCGGGAGCCAACTCTCGGGAGCGCCTTTTGACCGAATCGTTTACTCGACGGGACAAGAAAAATTAAAACTAAAGGCCGAATCTTTTACTCGGTAACCAAACGAGAAGGAAAGTTGAACGGCTCACTCGGTGATCGTATTGTCATTGACATGCACGTGTTATCATCGATGTATACGAGTTACTCGATGATCACACGAGGGGGATCGAGTTTCTTACTCGGTGCCCAAATGATCGCTGACATACGAGGATCGTTAGGCGACTGCGTGAAGGGAGTTGAGTTCCTTACTCAATGATTGCTCGGGGCATATGAGATTGGGGAATCTGAACGGTCGCGAGAAGTGGGATTTTCCTGTAGGAATCGGCCCATTAGAGACGGAATGCGAAGGGTCTCAAAAGAAAAAGCCCATCTAGGTCTCCGTTGTTGGGGTCAAAATCGGTACGACGGAATCAATAGCCAAGATTCCCCGCAAACGCGTAAACGCAACAGTTTTATGAATCTCGAGAATCGTTTTATAAAACTCGAGAGATCGTTTTATAAGAACTCGAAGATCGTTTTATAAAACTCGAGAGATCGTTTTATAAAACTCGAGAGATCGTTTTATTAGAACTCGAAGATCGTTTTATAAAACTCGAAGATCGTTTTATAAAACTCGAGAGATCATTTTATAAAAACTCAAGAGATCATTTTATAAAAACTCGAAGATCGTTTTATAAAAACTCGAAGATCGTTTTATAAAACTCGAGAGATCGTTTTATAAAACTCGAGAGATCGTTTTATTAAACTCGAGAGATCGTTTTATAAAA